CATCCACTTTGGCCTGTAGGGGGTTGATAGTTCCTTGACCCACCTGGTGTCCAAGGTAAGTCACCCTGTTTAGGCCTATTTGACACTTCTTAGCCTTAACAGTTAGTCTTGCCTCCCTTATGCGCTCAAGGACTTTTTGTAGATGTTCCAGGTGGTCTGCCCAGGAATCCGAAAATATGGCCACATCGTCAAGGTAGGTTACTACATATTCTGCTAATCCCACTAGGAGACCATCTACAAGTCTTCGGAAGGTGGCGGGTGCATTCCATAGCCCGAAAGGGAGTACATTAAATTCATACAACCCGAGATGTGTGGTGAAGGCTGACCTTTCCTTGGCGGATACATCTAGTGGTACCTGCCAGTATCCCTTGGTTAAGTCCAAGGTAGAGATGAACTGGGCCCATCCCAGTTTCTCTAATAGTTCATCTGTGCGTGGCATTGGATGGTTGTCTGGGCGAGTTACGTTTTTGCGTGGACTACCGTAAGCTAAATGCTGTATCTCCCCATCTGGTTTGGGAACTAGAACCACTGGAGATGCCCATGCACTTTCAGAGGGGCGGATTACACCCATCTGTAACATATCCTGGATCTCCCATTCTATAGCAGTTTTAGCTTGAAGAGACACCCGGTAAGGTTGGACTTTAATTGGGTGAGCATTACCTGTGTCAATGGAGTGGTATGCCCGTTCAGTCAGTCCTGGGGTGGCTGAGAACGTCGGCGCGTAGCCGGTGCATAGCTCCTTTATCTGCTGTCGCTGCATACGCCCAAGGGTCATGGAGAGGTTCACCTCTTCCACACCACCAGCACTTTTCCCTTCAGAGTGGACACCTTCAGGCCACTCAGCATCATCTCCTCCCTGGGCTGTAAACAGACAAACCTTTAATTCTCTAGAATAAAAGGGCTTTAGAGAATTAATATGGTACACCTTAGGCTTTCGGTTGGAGGTGGTGAATGCTATGAGATAATTAACAGCTCCCAGGTACTCCTGGACCATGAATGGCCCTTCCTACGACACTTCCATTTTATGGGCCTGGAGCGCCTTTAAGACCATGACCTGATCCCCTACTTTGAAGGAACGCTCTCTGGCGTGTTTATCATACCAGGCTTTTTGCTCTTTTTGAGCATCCTGTAGGTTTTCTTTAGCAAGGGCTAAAGAGGTTTGGAGGGTGTTTTTGTAGGTTGGTTACAAAGTCCGGAATGTTAGTTCCTGGAGAAGGTGTAAACCCCTCCCATTGCTGTTTCACCAACTGTAATGGTCCCTTAACCTCGCGGCCATATACAAGTTCAAATGGTGAAAACCCTAAACTGGGATGTGGTACAGCTCTGTAGGCAAAGAGCAACTGCTGCAACACTAGGTCCCAATCATTGGAGTGCTCATTTACGAATTTACGTATCATGGCCCCCAAAGTTCCATTAACCTTCTCCACCATGCCATTTGTTTGATAATGGTAAGGAGTGGCAACCAAGTGATTTACCCCATGAGCTTCCCAAAGGTTTTTCATAGTTCCTGCCAGGAAATTAGTTCCTGCATCTGTGAGGATGTCAGAGTGCCAACCTACCCTGGCAAAAATGTCTGCTAGTGCCTGGCACACACTTTTAGCCCTGGTATTGCTTAGAGCTACTGCTTCCGGCCATCGGGTGGCAAAATCCATGAAAGTCAGTATGTACTGCTTTCCTCTGGGTGTCTTTTTCAGAAAAGGACCCAGAATATCCACAGCTACTCGCTGAAATGGAACCTCAATGATGGGGAGTGGCTGGAGAGGGGCTTTGACCTGGTCTTGGGGTTTTCCCACTCTTTGGCATACCTCACAAGACTGGACATAAGTAGAGACATCCTTGCCCATTCCCTCCCAGTGGAATGACGTCCCCAAATGGTCTTTGGTCCTGTTCACCCCAGCATAGCCACTAGGATGATCGTGGGCTAAGCTCAAGAGCTTTACCCGGTACTTAGTTGGAACTACCAACTGTCTCTGAGGATGCCAGTCTTCCTGATGTCCACCAGAAAGAAAGAAAGAGTTTCCTTGTATAAAAGTCCTCTTTCTACAACAAATCTGGGTCGATTAGAAGAGCTGAGAGGCGGTGGGTTGCTCCGGGCTGCCGTCCAAGCTCTCTGGAGGCTTTCATCTGCTTCCTGTTTGGTCTGGAACTGTTCCCTTGATGCTGGAGACATCAGTTCCTCATTGGATTGTGGACCTAGGCTTGGTCCCTCTGGAAGCGATGTAGGGGATGGGGCTGTTTCCGTTGACTGTGAACCTCTCTCCGCTGGTGCACTATGTTGGGGTTCAGGGTCCGGCTGAGCCTCTGGTGTAGGGTTATTGGCCGCTGCCGGTTCAGGTTTGCTGGGGCCCTCAGGTGTTGGGGTTGCAAGTAGTGGATTCAGTGCTGGCAATGGGTTTGGTGCTGGTTGTTCCGCTGGTTCCGGTTCTGGGACTGGCTCTGTCTGGGTTTCTGGGACAGGATCCACTATTGCTGTTGCAGACATTGGCCTGGTGTCCGGGTCCATCACCTCTGACCGGGACCTGGTAGAAGTTTCCGGAACAGAGCTAGGCGTGACGGCTTGTTTAGCCTGGCTGCGGGTGACCACTCCCACCCTCTTGGCTAGCTTCACATGTTTGGCTAAGTCTTCCCCCAACAGCATGGGAATGGGATAATCATTGTAGACTTCAAAAGTCCACGTTCCTGACCAGCCCTTGTACTAGACAGGCAACTTGGCTGTAGGCAAATTGAAAGAGTTGGACTTGAAGGGTTGAATCGTCACTTGGATCTCTGGTTTGCTTAAATTGGGGTCCACTAAGGAAGCATGGATAGCTGACACTTGTGCTCCGGTGTCCCTCCACGCGGTGACCTTCTTCCCACCCACACTCCCAGATACCCTCGGAGCAGAGGGAAACTGTGAGATATCTGGGCCTGAGGGACCTCTGGTGTGATTCCGGTGCAATGAACTGTAATCTGTTGGGGTTCTTGGGGCAGTTGGCCTTTACATGCCCCGGCTCGTTACATTTAAAACATTGTCCAACTGACGGGTCACTGGGGCGAGGTGTGTTGCTGGAGAATGGTGTGGCTGGACAATAAGGTGGCTGGAGGGTTCCTTGGGGGGTAGTTGCGGCCTTGGGCTGCCTCCGGTAGTAGGGTGTGGTCTGAGGTTGTCCCTTCTGGTATACACTCCAATTGTGACCAGTTTTTTTCTTTTCTGCCACCTCCACCTATTTGGCTCCAATCTCCCCTGCCTCGATTACAGTTTTGGGCTTCCCATCTAGGATGAATCTTTCTATTTCCTCAGAAACACCCTCTAAGAACTGCTCCATTTGCATTAGGAAGGGAAAATTTACTGGAGATTTAACACTTGCTCCTGATATCCAGGCATCCCAATGTTTCACAGTGTGGTAGGCATGTCGGGTAAATGACACGTCTGGTTTCCACCGTAGGGCTCTGAATCGCCGACGGGAACGCTTGGGTGTTAGCCCCATTCTGACTCTTGACTGGTTTTAAACAGTTCATACTGGTTCATATGTTCCTTAGGCATTTCAGCCACCACCTCAGCTAAGGATCCACTGAGCTGTGGCCTCAGTTCTACCATATACTGGTCTGTAGAGATGCTGTACCCAAGGCAGGCCCTTTCGAAGTTTTCTAAGAAGGCCTCAGTATCCTCGCCTGCCTTGTAGGTGGGGAACTTTCTGGGATGGGAAGTGGTACCTGGAGAAGGATTGCTAGGGTTTTTTGGTATATTCTGCTGAACCTTTTTCCTTCTCCATCTCCAGTGCATGCTTCCTCTCTTTTTCCTTCTCCTCCAGTTCTTTGTCCCTTGCCTCCATAGCTCTCCTATGGGCAGCTTCTTGGTTCTTTTCTGTCTCTCTCGCTGCCTCCAGTTCTCTCCTATGGGCAGCCTCTTTGGCTGTTTCTGCCTTGGGTTCTGTCATGTTTGCCTCTCTGTTTTTAACTAACTTTATACCCGAGAGTTAGAAATAAAACAAACAGCTTGTCTTGTAAAATTTTGCTGTGCTGTAATATGATACCTATATTCTCTGATAGTGATTATCAGCCTACAGAAAAATCCTTAACAAACAAACAAACAAACCTAACACCTTTGTCTCCAGTCAAATAGACAGAAAACCCCTCTAGTTGCTCTTAGGTAAAAAAAAAAAACTTCTTCAGGTCTGTGAAGACTTGTGAAATTTCCCTGCAGAAGTAACTACCGTGCCTTTAGGTAGAGAAAACTCCAGCTCACAAAAGACAATTCCCTTTTGTCTCTGCTCTGGCCCCCAAGCAGAGACAAAAAAAAAAAAAAACCCTCTAACTGCTTTCAGCTTAAAATCTGCTTTCCAGCAGCCCAAAGGGAAAAAAAAAATATTTCCTTTTTAAAATCTGTGCTTCTGGTTCAAAAAATCTCAAATTGATCTCAAAATGATTTCAAGTTAATCCACTGCTCTGCCACCATGTCAAGGTTCCTTCCCCACTCTGAACTCTAGGGTACAGATGTGGGGACCTGCATGAAAACCCCCTAAGCTTATTTTACCAGCTTAGGTTAAAACTTCCCCAAGGTACAAACTATTTTACTTTTTGTCCTTGGACTTTATTGCTGCCACCATCAAGCATCTAACAAATATATAACAGGGAAAGAGTGCACCTGGAAATGTCTTTCCCCCCAAAATCCTCCCCAAACCTTACACCCCCTTTCCTGGGGAAGGCTTGATAAAAATCTTCACCAATGTCAATAGGTGAACACAGACCCAAATCCTTGGATCTTAAGACCAATGAAAAAGCAATCAGGTTCTTAAAAGAGAATTTTAATGAAAGAAAAAGTAAAAGAAAAACCTCTGTAAAATCAGGATGGTAAATACCTTACAGGGTAGTCAGATTCAAAACATAAAGAATCCTTCTAGGCAAAACCTTAAGTTACAAAAAGACACAGAAACAGGAATATACATTCCATTCAGCACAGCTTATTTTATCAGCCATTTAAACAAAACAGAATCTAATGCATATCTGGCTAGATTACTTACTAAGTTCTAAGACTCCATTCCTTTTCTGTTCCCGGCAATGGCATCCCACAGACAGAGAGAACCTTTGTTTCTCCCCCCACTCCAGCTTTGAAAGTATCTTGTCTCCTCATTGGTCATTTTGGTCAGGTGCCAGTGAGGTTATCCTAGCTTCTTAACCCTTTCCAGGTGAAAGGGTTTTTCCTCTGGCCAGGAGGGATTTAAAGGTGTTTACCCTTCCCTTTATATTTATGACAGCAACCCACAAGGCAGTACAGCAGTCACCATAACAGCCAGCTACAAAAGCTGTGCAGGAAATAAACCAGACTCAGATTGATGCTCCTGGAATTAGTTAGGAATTTGTGTCCCACAGGCTTCCAAGTGTATTTTGTGCTTGGCCAAGGTGTCAACTCCAGTACTGGAGCAGATTGGGTATTGATGAAAATATAAACAATGCCCCCAAAACAGGTGAGATTACTGATTTGGTATGGAAATTACACAGCTGTGCCACTGGGCTGCTGTGATCCCATTAGAAAAGTTAGACTTATAAGTGTATTCATGACGTGGGGCCTCCTCTTTAGTGTGAACATTTATGTATGATGGTTTTGTCTATATGAGAGTGAACGTCTGTGCCCAGTGAGAGAGCTGGAGGTAGAAGAGCCAGGATTGTTTTATGTTAGGACTGAGGTGCATTGACAAAACTGTGAGTGAGTTTGTGCAGTGCCTGCCCGTGCTAATAGCTTTTTTTCTATAAGTACTGAAAAGAGATAGAGACAAGAAATACTGGCAGCAAGTGCAATGCTTTTAAAGAACACATTTCACTTCTCTGGCAAATGCTTTAATTAAAATGATGTTGTCTTTTGACAGATTACTGGGCAATTAAAGCCTAATCAAACCCAGCGTACAATGGTCCTATGGAACAGTGTGGGTCCTATTCCCATTTTATGCTTAAAGGAACAGTATTTCCAAACATCATAGTAACAGAAAATTACTGGCCTGCTCATGCCCCCATGCAAATCACTGGCCAAACTCTCATTCCCTTCAATATGAACAGCCCCTTTATGTAATATAATTGTATTTTTGGATGCATATTCGTTTAAGGGAAAGCTGCTGCATTGGAAACCCTATTTGGAAATTCTTAGTTCACATTTTAAGAGAAATCCATTTTCTGCGAGATATTTTTAGTGCTAACTTCCTCTGAAGCACTATTACCTTACACTATATATCATTAGACGTTGATATGTTTCCAAGCTGATCATATGATTTCTAAGCACAGCTTTTACTGCTTTCTGAATGACTTGTCTGGCAGGAGTCAGAAGGCTAAGTTGTTAACTGCTAACAGCTTCTTTTCTTTGCCTGAATTCTTACTGATAAAACATTAGAACAGCTTACAATTACCTTTCTTAGAAGGTCAGCTGTGCTTTATTCAGCTTAAGACCTCATTAGCAAAGATCCTTCTTCACACAAGATGCCTATGTAAATGTAAAAATGTATTAGTCTGCAGAACAACTGCATGTGTGGGAACACACAACAACTATATTACTGAGAGGCATTTCAGAGCTGAACACTGGCATTTCTCATTGAGACACTGATATTTCAACATGAACTGGGAGAAACAGTCCATATTTTTGCATTTATTATTGCTCATTACATTTTCCAACTCAAGTAAGTTCACTGTATTTCAGAAAATGACAAGACGTAAAAATTGCAGCTCAGATCCTTCAGTGAGCCATAGCCAGTTTCTTTTCTCAGGAAAAACACCCTAAATGGAGAATTTTATAAATCTGTCTGTCTGTCAGTGCTAAGTTTACTGATTTGATACCATTAATTATTTTCCTGCACGTGATTATTACCAGTCATTTAAACTGCTCCTGTCAATTTTTAACAAACAGCTGGTTTATTTGAACTGGGAATTTTAATGCTTTCAGTTCCATTAAACTGGAATCAGAGAAGGATTATTATAAAAGACAGGAAGCAAATGTTCTGACATGAATTCGGAAGCACACAGAGAGAAAAATATCTTAATACTACATGCGTGTGTTTAGTTTCAGTGGATCAGATCAAATCTTTCCTATATCTGCATCCAAGCTATTTGGTTGTGATCAGATGATCAGAATTCAAGGAGGCGATTGGAGAGCTAACTGGCTGCAGCTGCATTGTAGGCTGTTTTCAGGGACAAGGAGCCACTGTTTTTCAAACATAGCATAAACATAGAAGTTATTTTGTAGGCTTCAGGATGCAGATATGGGTTGTGCTGCCAGCATTGTTCTGCTTCAAGCCTTTCGTTCTGTGGTACAGAGGAACTGTCCACATATTTGTAGACGACGACAACAGGAATTGTCACATGAAATTCTGCCACTGGATAGTGATGATGAAATGAACAGACCTAGAATCCTCACCATAATGGTACAGTATACTTTTAGCAAACAGACATAGCTGACAGGATTATTATTACAGATGTTATATGATTTATTGACTTTAACTATGTAGATGGAGGAAAAGAGCATTAGATAGACTGTTTGCAAGTGTGTACTAGCTTTCTGGTAGATTTGCTGTCTTTGTTATCAGAGCTGAAATTTTACTTTCATCTATAGCTAGAACTGTGAACTGCACATATGCTGCCTAAAAAGCAACACTGTTATTTAACTTTCCTTTGTGTTTTGTGTTATAAGATATATTGCAAGCATTAGAACCATAATATTGTTTAAAGTATCTTATTTCACACTCTGAATTCCAAAGAGCCAGCTCAGAAATTGTGCACTAAGTCTGTTCATCATAGGAAACTTTGCCTCAACCAAGATGCAGACAGAATGTATAGCAAGGTGTATGCAAATTACTTTCCATAGGTCCTGCAACAGGCTGTTTGTATGATAAAAATCCTTTGCTGATTTTTTAGTTCCAAACTCTGAGCTACCCTTAAATGAAAAAATAAAATTTGTTAGCTAGCTAGTGAGTTTCTTGGTTCTGTATCTCCTTGTTTTGAAAGATTATCAGCCTTTAAATGAGTGTTGTTTGCTTTCTAAATTAGACATTTATTTTTAACTTAAGCTGTGATTGAAATAAAACAAGCACTGCAGGTCATTTATTAGGATTCTGTTTGATCAATCAATGTGTGACAGAGCATTTCCTTATTTAAAGCATTGTTTGAGATGAAGAATATATGAACTACTTCGTTACTGCAGTTCCTCTCTGGATATAGACACTGTTATAATTTTCAGAATTTTGAAAGGTTTGGATCTAAGTGCTGAGTTATAATCACTTGTCGTCTCTTATATAACAATTTGATATTGTATTACCATTATGTAGTAATCATATTAGAAAACCACTGCAGTCATTATTATAGACAGTACATCAGAGCCATCATGTACATCATTTGAATGATACAAAGAGACTCCTCACTAAAGCACATTATAAAGAAGTCCAGAGTGTGTTCACTGATCCCTTACCTTATCATTATGCATGTTGATTTGTGTATAAGTGGGCACTGGGAACAATAGGTAATTTATACCTATTGTGAGATGAACAGAGCGTTAGAAATACTGTGTTGCAGTCATGGTAACTATGGTAAGACACATTGGGTCAGATCCTAGTAATGCCAGCTTACAGCGGCTGAAGATCTGGCCCAGTATTCATGGTGTTGATAACTTGTCATGGCAACAAAAGGGACTCTTTTCATCACTGTAGCTCTGATATCTTAAATCTGTTGTTTTAAACTCTGGTTCCCATATAATGCACAGTTTATTCCTTCAGTTAAAAGTTAAATAACTTCCCAAAGAGAAATTTAAAAATAATTGTGTCTCTGACACTAGTAGTTACTAGGATTGCATAGAATATGCTGTGACAAGGGACCTAAAGAAAGTGCAGTGTGAGAAAGTACTGACCACCCCATTTAATCTGTTATAATGCTTAGAGTAAAAGCATAGAGTCTTGTTTCAGTTCAGATTGGAGCTGATGTGCAATGCATTTTGGTAGCCCTGTCACAGTCCCAAATTACATATAATCTGGGCTGCATCACCCCCGCACCGCCCCGGGAGAGGGGGTTAAGAAAGAGGATCTCCCTGCAAAGATCCCCTTGCAGTGTTCCTCCCAGATCATATTGTCGGGGGGTGGGATTTACCCCCACATGGAATGAAATGTGGGGTCTACCCACAAACCTGAGGGATTCTTAGGAATCCATAGGAGGTCAGTGCCAACCAGAGGGCCCTCCGCCAGCAGCCCATGTCCATTCCCCACGGAGCTGTGCTTCCAGGGATTCCTTCTGATCTCAAACGGATTTCCGTATTACAAAAGTGGCCCTGCAAAACAGGTACTTGAGACATAACTTCTCATGGGCCAGATCAGTTAGCGTGTGTTACTTGGGCCCCACCTTCACCCAACGTGAGGCCACTCACTTTTATCAACAGCCCACTCAGTGTCCCCCCCACCCCCTGTGCAGATCTGTATCCCACAGAAATCCCCCATAAGGCATCTTAGTAAATTGAGGGGAGGACATTGTTGATCCCCACTTCCTTGTGGGAGAGGGGAGATTTGGGTGCAAAGTCTAGCTCTCCTTTTGGGCTGGTTTAGGTTTAGACTAGATTGAGAGTGTTGCCCACCAAAAAAGCTACGGAGCAGTAACAGGCTAAAATAAATGGTCTTTCCCTTGTGCATGTTTTTTCTGTTTCCCCAGATCTGAGGGATTATTTCATTCTACCATTAAAAGCAGTTAGTTACCATTTAAGTTAAATAGGATTGCACCTGAAATAAATTGCTATCAAGCTTTGCAGTTAAACTCTGTAATGATATGGAGCATGAGTAACTTCAAAAGAAAGAGCTGCTTTAGAATTCTTAGACATGGCAATAATATACAGTACTGTTTTTAGTAGATTTCATATGTTCGTTGAAAGGGCAGCATGAGAAAGAAGAATGATTGAAGGCTGCTTAATCCTAGTAAAATGTATGTATGAGCCTAACAGAATCTTGCTTGGTCTGTGACAGATCAGTGAAGTTTTATGTATGGATAATGTGCTAGAGACTGTTACACGGACATGCAATAGAGCATTTGCATCCAACTAACGTTGGTCACGTTA